TGGAAAGATAACCCAAATCAAAGAATTTGCGGAATCCCAAGGAAGACCTAAAGCAAGTCGAAGAAGAACGGAAGAAGTTCACAATTGATTAAAACTCAAAGGGTGAGTTCGCTCCAACCAAGGGAGACAGATGTACGCGTACTTCCCATAACAGAACTTCAACGACCAAGTTCATGGCTTTAAAGGTGTTTCTTAGCCATGTTTGATGGAGAAAACTGATCAAGTAGGTATTCAAGTTATCGGGGTCATGCTGTCGTAACCAAAATGGGGTCATAATAATAATTCCGACATCGGAATGAAAAGTTATGCCCATCGAAAGTTGTTGCGTCAGTTTAAACAAATAGTTGTTCTTATTTTGTATTGGGCTATAAATGTTATTTTTTTGAATAGGAGTTCCATTTAAGTTAGAATTACGATTACGGGGATCCAAAATAAATTTATAAATAGAGGCTGTATTAGATTTCTTATTTAGACTTAATTATTATTCAAAACTATGTTATTTGAGACTTTGAGTTGAATATGTAATAGCCATTTGAGCTAGGCATGTTGGCTTCCAACAATATTTCAAGCCAAACGTTAATTATTTGATTTCTTTCTGTTACTCTCAAATTTGCATCACTGGTGATAGTGTCTTTGCTTAGAATAAGATGGAGAAATAAGCAATCTTCTCTTCCTCTTCGACCACTTGAGAGGGGTCCCAAATTAACCATATTCCTCCAGAGCTGCTAATAGGTATGATGAAAGGCCATTGTGCTGTGCTTCTGCATTAACTTGCTGTGATAGAGGACAGTGAAGTTGTTTCCTGCTTCATTTCTATAACTGCAAAGATAGACAATCCATTATAGCGAACAAAATTGGTAAGGAAACTTCTCCCATCACATTTCATCAAATCGTCTTATGAAGGGTGGTTGTGTACTGTGTGGGCGTGTTGAGGACCTCCAAAATCTTGTACACTCACCAGCTACATGGTTTTGGCACAAATGATGCAAGAAGCTAAATTCTTCAGCTCTGGGGAACTCCTTCTCTTGATAGAGTTACATCAGAATACATTAGTAACTGCTTTAACAGGTCCAATATGTATAGGACCCGTATATTGTAAAATATTATTGATGTGTTTGTGGCGTGGCTTGAGCTCATATGTTCCTCCAGTCTATCTTATACTGAGGTATTGGAGAGGAGACTATTAGTGGGAGGAGAGGGAGAATGTGCCTGCAGCCTTCTTAAGGAGCTTAGGTGTACCTCAAAACCAAGCGGCCTACAGCTAGACCAAGGTACCGATTGTTTTGGAGCAAATGGGGAAGAGGTGGAGGACATGGAAACTCTAAAGGTGCATTCACTGGCCCCTGAAGGGGTTCAAGGAAGAGAGGAAGGAGATTTGAGTGGATTGTGGTGATCTAGGTTAGCAGAGAGACACTGAGCTCTAAGGATTAGTTGCAGCATGTAGCTGTGCAGCTGCTAACTCAGCGGGGGACGGGAAATGATTTGAACCACAGAATCTTAAAGATGTATAGCGTTTGCTTGAATTTATTTTAGTTGTCCCCAGGGGTGCCCTCAAAAGCCACAAATACTTCAACGGAATGCTTGGCTGAGGATTCATCTTGTTTCCAAAAAGATCCCAATGAGAACAGTGTTTGGATGCTCCCAGTCATGGCCCATTACCCCAATCCTCCTTTTGCAAAGTTTAGGTGAAAGAAAGAGAAAAATTGCAGCCTTTGTGGGGTAAGCACAAGGAAGTAAAGGGGTTTCTTGAGTTCGAGTGAATCATGGGCTCAAAAGGATCTCAGATGACAAAAAGGACTTTAATTCGGATGCTGGCTCAATGATGGACTATTTTCTGATTGGGAACAAACCGTTTTGTACGGGAAGGATGATGATCAATGATAGTGCAGCATATGAAAAGATTCTGAACCCCAGCCTTGCCCCTGCCAACATCAACCGCTACCCCCACCACCCAACAACAAAAATAAATAAAAAATAAAAATTCTCCAATGCCTACTACTCCATCTATTTTATTGGACGAAGTCAGTCTTTTGGAGCTCTGGGAGGCAGAGATTCGATTGTATTTTGGGGGTTTAGAGGGAAAGAGAGAGGAAAGGGGAGAATGAGAGTGGAGACTGGAGACTGGAGACTGGAGAGAAAAAAGGCCAGATAAGAACAGTATGCTTCTAGAGAGGATAGAGGAGAGAGAGCTGAGGTGCTTTCCATCACTGTATTAGGGATGAAGGCAGGAGGACATGTGACCAGTCCCTGCCATCAACCGTTTGAAGGAGGTGAGTTGTTTGGGATAGAGACTTAAGGTTTTATGATGGGATAATGGCCATCAAATTGGAAGAAATCTCTGCCATTGATAAGGCTTGGCATGCAATATCCAGATTGACATCTGATATCAGATCCATTGAATGGGCTTGAACTTCCCCCATCACTTGATCTTGCGCCCCAATGTGTTGACCTTGGATCATAGTTGTCGAAAGATGGACAATCAGATGCATGGTGGAAATGGTAATGGGCAACGTGGGCATGTGTTATCCACTGGCTGTAAAGCCAGTCGTGAAGGGGTTTCTGGGCAACGCGGAGGCCTTTGAGCCTTGGCTTTGGTGGGTACATGTATAGCCAAGGATATGGTAGGGGCTTGATTGGATGGAGATCGAGTGGGTACAGCAAGTGAAAAGGTTCTCAAAATTCAAATTTTCAATTTGGAATATGGATTGGATTTGAATTTAGCTTTTGAATCATGTTCTTCAAGAGGTCCCAATAATTTGATTCTCACATGTCCTACAGTTTCCATGTGAAGAAGTGGATGATCTGATGAGCTTGCCAGGGTCCACCCTTTTCCCGAAACTTGTCATTTTACAATTTCCACTGCACACACTCAATTTTTTATTTTCCATCGATTTTTCTAGCGAACTGCCATTTTTCAGCCATCAGAGTCATGTTTTTTAATCTTTTCGTGGTCTGGGAAATCCATTGAAGTTGGGTAATCCAATATGTGATCCTTCCAACTGGGTTTGAGGGTGGCCTACTCCTTAACAACCTGAATCAGGTATTGGGACCCCAAGAGAGATGATTTCAGAAATTGCTGAACGATCAAGACTTTCAACCAGCATTTGTAGGTGGAAAAGGGAAGAAGATTTCCAAAGAGTTCAACTCTACCTTGATAAAGCCATTGCACATATTACTGGCCCCCCTAAACACTTCCCTGAAGCCATGAATGCAGTAGAACGCCATGAGCTTGAACCCAAAGCTTCTTTGATTTTCTCACTTCAAAACATTGAGACCAAGACCTGTAATTGAGTATGGTTCCATGAATCTTAACTCTGTCAGCCTGAGGACTATCTAAGCTTCATTTTGAGGAGGAAGGGAGAAAAAAATACTTAAGACTCAACAATGTGTCTGCAGTAGTGTAGGAAAAATCAAACCGGAACGGTCAACCAGACAACACACCGAAAGCGGTTCAACCGGTATAACCGGTAACCGGGCAGTCAAAGAGCGTTAAGAAAATACAAAAAAAATCTAATAAAATATGAAAAGTATATCTAAAGCATGATTAAACAAAGCACACCCAAATGAAGTTTAAAATTAACGAAAAAAATAAATATTAAAGAATCGATTTGTGGTTTGTAATTCCTTTAATATCTTTTCTTGGTGGCTTGAACTCTTCCACCAGGGTTGCTCAAAATGAAGACACTCTTTTGGTACTGATGTCTTCCCCAACTGAAATCTAAAGTTTGCCATCCAGAACCAAGGTTTTTGTTTGAGTTTTACAGAAATTCAAGTACTGGTGGGCTTTTGTGGGTGCCAGATACAAGCTTAATGAATGAAATAAAAATATAGGGCTACAGTGTTCAATGATTTTTTCAGTTGTTAAGGATTTGGGATCAGGTTTTCTGAGATGTATTTAGGGTCAAGAGAAGGTGTAAAGGCGCTTGAGAGGGGGGGCGGGGGGCGTTAAGGACATGTTGGTCGTTCTTTGATGGGATGGACCACTGTTCATGGCAAGCTCTCTGGAGTCATGGCATCCAAACTTGAACTAGCCTCATCCAATTAAATTAGCATTGTGGCCGAGGACAGGGCAGGCGATTGCATCTGACACTCAAGCAGGGCACCCAACAATGACAAGGCTTCCTTATTGGTCAGGGTAGTTAGCCCAAGACAAGTTCGTCAACAAAACCACCATAGGAATAAAGACATTTTAATGGAGAAGTAGGACCCTCCATTCTTGTTGTTAGATGATGAATAACTGAAACCAATTTGCACCAGGTGCATTGCATTTTCCGTTGCCCAGATCCTTAACTAAAGTAATGGTGAAATCAAAGACTGGAGCCTTGTAACACATTGACAAAGGCCACAGTACAGTAGAGGTGATAACTTTACTCACTGTAGTTGCAAGGCAAGTAACAAGTATCAGCAGTGGCAGCAATGTCAAAGCACTCAACAGTCTTCCTGCTCCTTTAACAAAAGATGGATGTAATTCCTAACATCTGAGACATTGACAAAATGCATATTGCACTCAAATCCCCAAAATTTTCTTTGTCAATAATGAAGCTTCAGGATGCCTAAGGAATGGGGATGTACCAATCACTAACAAGCCAAGACTAGATTTCTTAATCAGATAAGAAAACCTAAGACTGGATATTTTCAGGCAATGAGGCCAAATCACAACATACAATGGTAGTATCAAGAATGATAAAGCCACAGGAACTGCAAAAAATGGAAACAGAACTAATTTCATTCCTCTGTAGTGCAATCCATATGAAGCTTGATAAAGCCAGTTTCATCAAAGGATATGATAACTAATCAACAAAAAATGAGAAAACTACATTATTTTCCTGATATTTTGATGTCTCTTGTGGAAGGAAAACAACATTAGAATGAAGTGTTTCATCTCATTATGGTCATGCTGCAGGTACAGCCACACTCCGATTTCAATAGAAATATATACATGTTATTTACCAAACAAGTAACGAAAGGAAAATAAAGATGATGTAAGAAGAAATCCTCACCCATCACGCATCCATACATCTACCCGATCACCAACAGTCCAGACATAGTTACCCATTGCTGCTCGACGCCTCTTCCTTGTACCCTCAAATTTCAAGGCAGTCACAGGATGGGCAAGTCGTACTCTAGGAGGTTTATCACTTTCGCTTTCAAGAGTTATCCACTCCTTAAGATGATCAGAACCTAAAAAGTATTCATATGCTAAAAATGAAAAGAATAGAGAATTCAAAGAAAAAACACCCAATAAATACTGGAGTATAGAAAGAAAGGTCGTGTACTTTTTCAAACTTTGAAATCGAATGGTATATAATTTTATAAGAGAAGTGTCAAATAGTGGACTACTCATTAAATTGGGCTGTGAGCTAACAAGTTCTTTTAAAGATATTTTTGGGGGAAGGAAAGGTATGTAGACGCTTGACAGGTGCACAAGCACCCTTCCAATGGTTGAGATTTAATCTGGAAATATTCAAGGGCTACAAATTAATGTCATTTCTTATGTTTTATTTTGGTAGAATTCTATTTACCTGAAAAAAGGCCAAGATCGCACCAATAAAAGATATTTTAAACAAATTTTTGACCAAAATACTCCAAAATGTTTCGGGGGATTTTGGCTTTTTCTTATTCAGATATTTCTTTAATCTTTAATGCAGTCATTTTTAGATGTATGGATACCCCAATTTTTATATAAATAGAAGCTTAAAAAAGAATAAAAATAAAAAAATAAAATCATTTTGTGGCCCTTGGATAAACCAGGTTCAATCTAAGCCATTGAAGGGTGTTTGTGCACACTTAAAGTGTTCACATCATGTGGATGCTATACCATCCCTAAGGGAAAATGCATGACAATCCAATGGACATGAAAAACTATAGTTCCTTCGGTTCATTACTGCTCAATGAAATGATGGATGACCATGGAATGAGAGAGTGAGACCCATTTAAGGAAGGATGTGAACCCAATGGTCCATCCCATTTGCTCTCCAGTTTCCATCATTTATTGCACATTAATGACCCCTATGGTTTTCCTCTGACCAAACGATTAACGCATGCATTCCCCTTTTGATTGGTTTTACTTGTAAATCAGCCAGAGAACTTGGGAACCAATTTAAGGTCTAACATTTTACCTTCATCATTAAGCAGTTCAGTGTAGCAGATAAAAGCTTTTCCATCCTTTATGCTCTGTACCTTGGCAGAAAACCAGACCCCTCTAAGGCCCTCTTCGTCAGAAACAACCTGCTTATTTCAAATGTGTCAATGTAGAATCTATTTTAAACATCACACAGAAAAAGGCAACAAATATATATATATATGTGGAAAACACTACGCAACGCCTATAGACAAAAATGAACAGTGATTTCGCCTATGCTCATCATTGTCTAAAGTTTATCGCATAGTAAACGGTTGTCCGGTAGTGTTTCAACTTTCATTTTTTTTCTACAAATCGGAATGATCTAAAATTTGGAGCGTGTGTTCAGCAAAAATAGGAGAATCTAATAAAAATATAAAACAAATAATTCGCAAAATATAAATTGACAAAAATTCCCCTAAAATTTGTGGGGGTATTTTGGTCAATTTATATTTTGCAAAATATTTTTTTTCATATTTTTATTCGGTTGGCCTCGCTAAGATGTACACGCACTCCAAATTTCAGATCATACCAATTTATAGAAAAAAAATGAAAATTCAAACACTACCAGACAATAGTGACCGTGCGATGAAGTTTAGACGGTGATGAACATAGGCGAAATCACTATTCATTTTTTCTTA